TCATTTTTTTGAAAAAAAGTCTCTAAGTAATTCTATATTTTGAAGACTCCCGATCCAGTCCACCTTTTACATGAATCCAATCCACTCAATCCAATCCACCTTTTAATCTTTACCGCTATTTTTTACTTATCTGATCTTGAATTGGTCATAATAGAAATCAAGATAAGTAAAAGAGACCGACTTGTGGCAAGGCTAATGAAATGTGAGCAAACATAATATGTTTTCACCCTTACAGAAGGATGTGGTCTCGTTTCTGGATAAATGTAAATGTCTGTAACACATCCTAGATGGTAACTCGATGGTGAATTTTATAGTTTTATAGTTGAACTTACACAAACCCCGAATGTAGTATACGGTATAAGGCACGATCTAACGGTAAGGTATAACACAAAGAATTGGAATTTGCATTATATCGTATCTTACCCCGCGAGTGTAACTGTCAAGCATAATTTGATACGTACCCTGTGCTGAAGAAACAGATAAAATCTAAAGGTCTTTAACTTGCCATATGCCTTTCTACATATGTTAAAAAATTAAATTTAAAGTCATCAAGCTTGTGTGAAGGTCGACTATGCAACCCTTATTTTTTAGTTGAATCTCAATTCCTTCGTCTACTTTTAAGCCACAGTCACATTTGCCCTACGGTGACCGTATCTGCGCAGTTGGTACAATATATATACTAGATTAGTAATAACTAGTTCTATGGTATATATGTACAAATTTATCCCACCCTAAGTGCTTTATATGATTGTATAATAGCATTGTATAACTGCGATATAAAACCAACATTCATCGTATACAACTCTTGAGAACGATATACAACTTCTGGATAGCGTATACAACTCCTGGACAGCGTATACAACTCTTCGACTTGATATACAACTGCTGAATTTAGATTAACCTTTTATTGATTAAAGATAAGGGTGGGATAATAAGATCATATAATGGTTGATTCTGTATATCGTTATACTCTCGTGAGTATATGATATATTCACTCGTTCCCTTCAGTCACTCGTGAAAATATCATATACTCACTTGAGTATAAACACGATATACGGAATCAACCATTATATAACCTCATAGTATATAACCTGTTAATTGCTGTATAATTACATGTTATAGGCTAACGTTTAAAATCTTCACTTACCAATTGTCCTGTCTATATTATAAAGTTGTGTTCTGCTTAGTAATACCGAAAATTAGTTAAGATAAATACCGGTGATATACGGGTACCGGATTTTCTCGCATATACGCCCCCCTAAATTTAGGCCCATGGGCCAAAAATCGAATGTAGTACACTTTTACGCCCATGGGCCTATAAAAAATGATTATTTATTGATTTTTTCAATAAATTCAAGAGTATTTTGTCACTGGCAGATAGTTCTGTCGTTACTTTGTTTCAACATTAAGTTCAACGCTGTGCCGTATAGTGGCAGTGGTGGATCGTTCTGTTGTTACTTTGTTTCAACATTAAGTCCAAGGTTGTAGGTGACATTTCCTTTATAATTCTTACAAAACATGCGGTAGGACTACAACAGTAGGCACGGTAGTCTTTGAGGAACCATTGTATTCATCAGCTCTTCTCACCTTTACGCCCACTGGGCCAAAAATCGAAAGTAGTACACTTATACGCCCATGGGCGAAAAATAAGAGGTAAAATAACAGACGAAATCACCCCTTCTTTCAGTTATACGCCCAGGGCTTATATGCGAGAAAATCCGGTAGTATTTCATTAAATTAAGAGCTACTGCCATAGCTAGATTTATAGAATTTGCAAATTAAGCTAGCCGTACACCAAAGGGACATGATGGTACATCAGTATATACAGTACAGGGTGTTTAATAATGACGGCCCCCCCCCCCCCCCCCCCCCATCAACCACCAATCCCAAATAGCATACCAGCAAATGTTATATATCATATGAAAGCTTGGTCAGTTCTGGATTAATTAAACACTTTGAATAAGCTCAACAGTTTTTACAACTTGCTACATACCTTTACAAAAGGTACCCAGCATAGAATCTCATATCTTCTTTTTTCCAAAATTAGCATGTAGCCACGTCCCCTGCAAACTACTATGATAACCATGCCTCACAATACACTATTATCTGTAGTTATGTACAACTACCATTTGATTGATGCTGAGGATATATCCCAATGATATTTGAAAGACAAAAGTAACTATTGAATAGTTCAAAGAAATGCCCAGAGAGCTCTTGGTGATTCAATCCGCTGTTGTCCCCCGGACATCATTGAACAATTTCCGACGTTGTCCAATTTTGTCCGGTGATGTCTGGTATAGCGCAATTTTGTCGGAAAATGGTTATGTGATCGTGATGTTTCACAATGACCGTCTCCCCATCAAAAGCCAATCCTAGATCACGTGACCCCATAATCTATATACCATAGTTAAGGTTATTCAATTTTAGACGTATGTGCCCAATTTTAGCATGACTGGTCAATGAGAACATAATTTGTAAACATATGTTTGATAATCACTATACCCTGAGTTTGTGTGATTTGTGGCTACCATTTCTAATGGATTTAAAGAGAGGAGCATATTGCTATAATATAGTAGGTCGATCCAGAAGTTCTGATAAAAATGCTCTAACTTAAAAGTGTATCATCCATTTTCCACAATATTTTCAGAGTAACCTCATAGGATATAAAAAATGTAGATGCTGATAATGAATATTTCTAAAGTTATGGTTGTTATAGTAACCTCAATAACGCTATAGCGGGACAGGGTAAAATTTGTATAGTTTAGATTCAGATTTCTATGAACAAATGATCGAAACCCCATAACAAGGTTACAAATGCCTGTTTTACCAATAACTGCTGTTAATATCCTGTTCTCATAAGTGTTGATACAGAAAACACGAACGCTGCATGATACTTAAGACAAGTGATAAACACACAAATTACTTTCAGTTCAACTATACGTAAAGCAATTCAGAAAAAAGCGACTGAACAGATAGACTAAGAGCCATAGATTCAAACATGTTTGCCTTAGACAACACATCATGTCACAAATCTGGCATGATCTACAATATCATCAGCAACAAGTTAAATATGTAGGTATTAGGACAGAAGGATATTAGGGCATTCTCCATACTTACCAGATAATGCCCCATTGGGCTTTGTTTGGACCCCTGTTTGGACTTTGGACCGGCCCTAAAGAGGGGGATCCGAGTGTGTTATATTTAAGAACATTTGTTGAAATTACACCTCACTAGAACTAAAAAGGGTGTACAAACAGTGGATGGATAGATACCAGGATGTACCAAGTGCCCCTACCATGGGGTAGGAAAAGTGTGATTACGAAAAGTTGTATCAATAAATCATTCTGATTCTGAAATTCCCTGCTGTATAGCCATATAAATTATGTAAATTGTGTAAAAATTTCAAGTGATTTCCTTTTCTTAAGAAAAAGATTTCTAGCATTTTATCAGAACATCTGGATCGGCCTTCGTATATGCGATAAAACATGTGTATCAACATTAATATTCTGGTATGGTCCATTCCAAGTAGCAGATTTAAACAATTTGTGTACAATCATTCAATATTATATTGTAGCCATATTTTCAAATAAATGCAAACAAATGGGAAATGATATCGATATATTGAAGGATTGGTATCGTTATGACGAACTGAATTCTACATTGTTTTTCTCAAACCAATTATTGAAAACATCATGTTCGAAAAAACACGATCCTTTATGTAATGGTAGCTTATTGACAACAATTTAATGCGAAAATTATTTGAATATATTTTTATGACTGTTTTTGGTTGCATTTATGATATTTTTTGCAATTGTTTTTTTGTTCCTTTCTACCTGTTCTTGAGAATGAGATAAAATATCTTTCCGAATCTTATTGGAACAAAATAGCATATACAACATTTTCTTAGACTTCTCAACGTTATAGTTACTAGTATACAAAAGATATTTTGGGTGATTTAACAAAAGGTATTCAAAGACCCAAAAATAGAAAAGTAAACCGTTCATTTCATTAACAAGATACTTTTTTAAATCAACCAAACTTTCCTTTATGCCTTGGTCACACTTGCTCCGATTTTCACTACGGTGCCCGGCCGATTGAGTATTTTGAGAGTATTTTGTTCAAAATTTTATACAATATTGAACAAAACACTCAATCAGCCGGGCGCCGGCCGATGGATCGGAGCATATGTGACCAAGGCATAATACAATAAAAAATATCGAGAGACCTTTAAACACGTTGTGTATATGTCGTTTTGTTCCAATGATGTTTGGATAGATGTTTGTTTTCATTCCGCACATACATATGATACTATGAACAAAAGGAGTGTCTGGTGTGTTTTCTAAAACAATATAGAGAAAAGAAGTGAACAACTGATCAAAAACCCCTGACACACGACATCTACTTGACAAGGTTAACGAAACGAAACTGGTACTTGAAAAAAGGGATTAAATACATTTTTTTTCAATTATCTGCTTTTGAATAGTGACATGGACATCTTCAAAGAAAAATCCATCCCAGTTGTTCTATTTTGATCAAGCTATGAATTGGCCTACATGTATACTTGAAAATTATCCCATCAAGTATTACAAAATAACAAGGCATTTAAAGAATAAATCGGTCGAATTGAACAAAGTTGTAAAAAGACCTTTTTTGACCCTCAGATCGCCAACCGCCATCGAAAAAAACGGAGACCATAACAATCTGTCACCACTTAATGGTGGTGACATAATAAGGCCATAATTGTTTATTAAGTTCTAGCCCTAATCTTGCTTAAAGAGATTTAGAAAACAATGAGATTCTTGTATGTAATTGATACATATTAAATCTAATGAAGCGGTTGTCCGCCTTACTCTGTCTCGTAATGACAATCCCAGAAACTTGCCAAGTTGTTATAAAGGAACCATGCGATATGGACTTATCCATATCCTATATTGTTGGAGTGGAGTTAATTGAGAAAATATCAACAAAACTTACTAGAATTTTTTTTATTTCATACGAATTACAGTTCGAAAACAGATCCCGTAGGTAGGGGCGTAATTGGCGTATGTATTTGTCATTGCTTTGTTCTGATTTCTCAATAGGGACCTGTAATACAGTAGAGGGAAATTGCCTAGAGGGAAATCGACAGAAAATTTTAATTAGAAATTCCTTATTTTGAAGATTTCCGATCCAATCCACCTTTTACATGAATCCAATTCACTCGATCCAATCCACCTTTTAATCTCTACCATGAGGGTAGCTTTTTTCTGTAAAAATGAGAAACAACCGTAAATATCTAACGAGTATCTTTAATGAAATACAAAATAAATAAGTATGCAAACCCATTTTAGTTTATACGATCATGATCTTTTCAGTAATGTGACAATTTTGTTATCCATTTGTTATGACGACACGGTGTTCCAAAGTTCGGTCATACGAGATGGGTACTTGTGTAGATCATGGAGCAAGACAAACGTGTACTTGTCCTTATTTTCTTTCAACGCTCTTAATGGTCCATCACTGGGAATTATTATTTTTGGAGGGAATTTATAATCCAGCTGGGTCAATTTTACACCAGCTTTTTTGGCAAGTACTCCAGTTATAAAAACATCATCAATCCAGAAAAACGGTTCATACAATGATGCTGTATATATTGGTTTAGCAGTGGACATGGCGTATACGTAAGCTAGACCATAACAATACGGGGGATATAGATCTTTCTTAACAAATGGCCGAACCAAACCCAACACGTTATGACAACTGGTAGCATTCTCTCTAGTTATCTTTAACAGATAGCCAAACAGTGGATATATATTTACAAAAACATCATCGTCCGTTTTCAAAATAAATTTTGCATTAGAGCAAAAGTTGATGGCCCATTTAAGTCCCATTATTCCTTTCAGGGTTAAATTTCTATATGTGTCTATATAATCTTCTTGTATTATATCATGGTGTATTTTGCTCTCTAGTGTAACCCTTTCATCAATTCTCCGATCTGATGGGACTCCCAAGAGAAATATAAGTACTGTACGATATCCTTGTATTCTTCTAACACCACCCCATGTTTTACGAATCATATTCCGGCGGGCAACGTTTCCTGGAGCCGTATGAATGTATATCAACAGAAAGGGATCGTTTGCACAGATTTTCTCCTCATTAATTAGATATTTATAATCATGAGGACTGATTACAGTTTTCCCGTTTTCTTCTTTTTTATCTACAGATATTATCTCCGTAGCAGTAGCGTTGTCCTCAGTTGATGTTGAAAGTGTGTTATACTGTTGACTCGGTTCACTTTTACCATCATTTTCTGTTTCTATTACTAGTCCTATCATTGCCTCAGTTGTATCGTTATCCACTTGTGACGATGACACGATGTTATCCTGAAGACGTTCAAGTTTCTCACTGGTATCTTTTGTGATATCATCGTGATACAAAAAGAAGCTCCTGACTAAAAGATAGAAACATAAACCATAAAGGAATATTTTGAATGCACGACGCATGGTCTTTTTCTCCAACGACTCCTTTATGTCATAAACACGTATTTAAAGGTGTCCGTTTTGAAGATTGTCCCTATTACAAATGATCCCGGTATGTTGTAAACACGCACGTATAAAAAGCGTTCCGATTTATGATTTTAACATGGCCTTATGATTTAAGTGATTGTGTCCACAGGTACCTAAAAATTATGTAATGATTCCGTATATTATATATGAATGTACATGATGTGCCAAAAACGTCCTTGGCGTTAACCTTTTTATTGATGTTTAGGAAACGCAGTGATTGACGTTACAATTGTACCTGGTATTAGTCTAGTCTATATTGTATTGTATTGTATTGTATATCTTTACTGCTCATAATAAAACGGAGATACAATTTAGATGTACAGTAAAGTACAAAATTTTGACAAAATTATATATATGTTAGACGTAAAAAAACTATTCAATGAGCAAAATGCTCGTAAGGTTCCCAAAACTGGATAAATAATTTTTAGGGGTCTTAATAAAAGGTACTTGTATACAGTTGTCACTGTCATGATAATTTTCGAAGCAACAATTTTTCAGTGATAGTAAGTATAAAAGGTGATTGGGAAAATCTCCCTGTCTATGGAAAATCGGCAACGTGCGTTCAAAAACGCAATTATGTACAAAAGTGCAATAAAAATCCATCAAAAAATGACATTACTGGGTGTATAATTCATTAAATCTTTCAAAATAAACTAACCAACTCATTTTCAGTCAGATGATAAGTACTTCCACTAAGTACATGCATTTCACTAACGAGAGGCTTTTTGTCTAACATGTTTTTGAATGGTTTGGTTTTAGCTATAAGTACAACATTGTGGAAACTTTATTTCGAAATAACAAAAATATTTTTTTCAGAACACGACAGGTAAACGAGCAACGGTCTCGATTCATTGCCCAGATATGATCAATTACTGAATCAAAATACATGCAGGTAAGAGTGTCCATTTAACATGTTCAAACCGATTGTCCTATTTCACTGCTTTTAAATATAGCCAATCATCTGTTGATCATCAAATAGGAAAGTCGATTTATCATAATTGACAACGTTATTTTAATACGGCACGTATTTTATGATGAGAATGAACGCTCAAAAATGACCCAGATATGTATATTCCAGTTTCAAAGATTAAATATGATTCCAAGATAATTTATGAAGCAAGTTCTTCACTAATTTAGATAACTTGCCCTATGTCATATTAAGGAAAGTAAAAAAGAAAGTAAAGCTCTAAACAAATTACGGCATATTTTTAATTAGTTGTATTAATATTTTATTACAAAATATATTGCGTTGAGCATATGATTTTGTATAAATAGCAATTTACAATAAAAATACATATAGCATTCAAATTTTTGGATACACTATTATGAACATTTCTCTGATATATTATACTCGTGGTAGAACCGGACTCACTGCCAAGGAGGATTGGCTCCCAGAGTGCAACACTGACATTCTGTCGCATATATGGCCATGTCGTGATGATACACAATTCGAATTCAAACAGCCGCCATTTTGTTCACGCCAACATTTGTATCGTAAAATTTGGTCTTATTTCCCAGCGAAAAATTCCAAAACTCACAAGAAATGATCGAGATATTGGTTCGAATCGTTTGAACTGTTTATTTTGTATTCATACATACTCTGTTCTAATTTCAGAAAATAACGACATTTCGACGTTTTCATTATTGGAAAATATCGAGTTTCGATCCTGGGAGCCAATTCTCCTTGACTTGCTGATCTGGAAGGCCTATCATCCATTCAGATGTAGTCTACTACCTGCGTAGATTCACAAAATTGATCAATGTGTTTTCAACTTCTGCAAAAGCCACGTATTTTGGAATTGTCAATTTTGATTATTCATGTAATAATTTTGAATATAAGCAGAAGATGATCTAAGATCATTAGATGAGCTTAGCTCAGATGAGCTAGGCTCACTAGACGAGCCATCGTTGTTAACTTCATTCTTGTGATGCTCTGCAATATCCAATTGTGGCAAATATGGTGGTTTTGGTAACAACACAGGGTTACTATGGTGATTCACAGGTTGCATAGCTACCGATTTCAAAATGGCTGATCCCTGGCTTTCCCCCTCGGGTATTATAATTCTATTACCAGGATAATCATAAATTGCTTCATGGGACAACCGAGAGTGGGGAGTAAGTTGTGGCGCCGAGACTGAATGAGCGGCAGATACAGGTGAACCAAACGGCAGAATCGGTACGAAAGCATTTTCATTTGATTTCTGTTGTGTTTTGATCATTGAATGAGGGACTGTATAAAGCCCAGGGCTAGTTGTGTAAAGTTCTGAACTAGTTGAATAAAGCCTTTGATTAGTGGCGTAAAACCTTGCATTGGTGGTGTGATTCACGGGACTAGTTGAGTAAAGCCCTTGTGTATTTGTGTAAAGCCCTGTGTTGGTTGTGTAAAGCCCTGTGTTCGTTGTGTAAAGCCCTGTCGTCGTTGTGTTATGTTTTGGAACAGTAGAGTAAGGTAGAGTAGTGGTTGGTACTTGAACTGTAGTAGGCTCGTGGGGATATGTTACGGTTCGAACACTCAATGGGTGAGTTTGGAGAACATTCATAGGGTCATTATGCTCCACATTGATACTCTGAAAATGAGTAGAACTTTCCATTTTTTGATTAACTTCATGTCGAAGATTAGCTTCTTCCTTACGTTCGAGTTCATGATTTTTGGCGATTCCGACAAAATAATTTGGATCGTGTAGATCTAATTGTCTTCGGAGAGTAGGTAGAGCATTCGGTTCTCTTGTATAAGTTGGTTCTGTGGAGGTGTATATCACTTTAGGATCATTTCCAATCGCTTCTCTGGGATAATGTGATTCCTTTTGAATAATCGGTTCTCTTGACATATCTGATTCCCTTGAAATATGTTCTTCTCTCTGATAGCTTTGGATGTTTTCTAAGTACTGATGTTTAATTTGAGGGCCTGTATCATTGTTGTTTACGTAATCATCCTGATTGGAATTTGGTTCGTACTGCAATACAAGTAAGGGAGGTATCGTCCCAGCATTATATGTCTCTTTGGCTTGTTCCTTAAACTGTTGAGGATCCGTAGCTTTATGCATTTGTTGTACATTCAATGTTACTGGATTTTCGGTTGTTTGTTCATTTTGTTTAATGATGATATCAGACGTATTGAGTCTGTTAACCACATACACGTTTGATTTCATATCATCTGTCATCCGAGTAGTTTCATCAGTTGACTTTAGCATGTTATGTCTCTTTTCCAAATGGGTTGATAAGCTCTTTTCACCAGCGAACCCTTTTCGGCAGATGTGACACTTTGTAGTCCATATAACGACAGCTTTATGGTCTTTGTGAACTTTCTCAATATGACGGTTCAGGCGTTCCACTCTTGTGAATGATAACTTACATTTTGGACAGACATTCGTATGATGCTGACTCTTCATTTTGATATTATGGTCTCTCACGAAATGTTCTTTTAAGTCAGAGAGAGTATAAAAGAGGGCGTCACATTGCGTACATTCCCGTCGTCGATCCTTAGAATGTGTTTTTTCATGGTACTGTAGCGCTTGCTTGTATTTGAAAGACCGAGAGCAAAATTGACAAATGAACAATGGTTCGTTTGAATGTGTTTTCATGTGTTCTTTTAATTTATCTTTTCTTTTGTATGCTCTTGTGCAACCGGTTATTGTACATTTGAATGGTTTAACATTTACATGTGTTGTCATAAGGTGGCGCTTCATGTGGTCACGCTTTTTGAACAATTTACCGCAAGTTGGACACGGGAAATCCTCAATCGGGTAATGTGTAAATGTATGGCGTTTTAGGGCATGTTTGTTTGTGAAACCGGCCCCGCATTCATCGCATAGAAAATGCTTCATATTTGAATGGGATAACTCATGTGATTTCAGGTTCATCTCAGTCTTGAAAGCACGATCACACTTCTTACATTGGAATTCATGTTTTACATTAGTTTGATGTATTTTTCGTTCCTCAGATGTTTCAAAGATGTCGCCACAACCGTAACACTTGAAACCATCCGTTCTTTGAATATGAAAGCTCAGTCGATGCATCATGAGGAACTCCAATGAGCTGAAATGATCGTTGCAGGAAATACAGATGAACGCCCTTTGAGGATGTTCGGTACTATGGTCCTTATATTCATCTAGTGTTTCAAAAATCTGGAAACATTCCTCTTTTATACATTTGAACACTGGTTTGAGTTTATGATTGACAATTTTATGTTGTTTAAAGTTTTCCCAATCAGTGAATCGTCTGGCGCAATATGGACACACAAAGGTTTTATCGTTGTTAATATATTCGGTGATGTCCTTCACAAACTGATCATTTGATTTAGCATTACTTGATTTTTCAGTTGTTCCTTGTGCATCTAATTCTGTTGATTTATTGTTGGTATTATTCAGTCCATCATCAACACTTTTTGCAGTTTTAAAAGGATCACCTGCCTTGGCTTTTAATCCCAATTTAGCTATGACATCATCATCGCCAGTTTTATTGTCTTTGTCAACAGATACATCCATCTCTTTATGGATTTCAGTGGACGAATCACTTGCTTCGACATTGTTATCTCCATTTCCTCCATCATCTTCAGTTGAGTTTTCTTTGGAGTTATGCACTGACTGATACACTGTGTCAATCACAAGATTATCATCTGTTGGAACCCAAACTTTATGGTACTCCAAGTGAATGTTTAATTTCTCAATATTTGGGAAATATTCACAACACAAAAAGCATTTATGAGCCATAACTGAAGATAAATCTTTCACTTGCTGTTTCGATTTATCATTGGTTTTAACTGCATTAAGAAGAGTAGACTCATTATGGTTCATAGCCTCATTTTGGATTACAGCCTCCATTTGGATCTCAGCAGACGGATCATAGCTTTTTGGATCACTTGAATGAGGTACTTGTGGTTTATGCACCTTCAATTTATGACGCACCACATGATGTTTATGAGAAAACATTCTACAACAGACTGAACACCTCAATACATTGAAATCATCTTTGTCAATTTGATGGACTGAGATCATATGTGTCTGATGGACAGTATCAGTTGGAAATATTTGGAAACAAAATACACATTTTGTGTTCAGTCTGTTACTATGGTGACGTTGAACATGTTCATGGAAATCATGTTTTGTTTTGAATGATGTTTTGCATGCTTTACAATTCATATCATTGGACTTTGAAGGTCTGCCCCTTCTAGCAATCGGTTCACTCACAAGCTCTGCCTTGGCTGCAATTATATCATTTTCTGACACCAATCCTTTATGTAGGTTTGAAGTCATATGACGCCACAATTTGTACTTTGTTGGGTAGTATTTTCCACATAGTTTGCAGATCCCACAATAGGTGGCAGGATGGTGCTTCTCCATGTGTGTTTTAACATCAATATAATTGTCAAAACACTCTAAACAATTTGGACAAGCGAATGACACAGTTTGGTTCTTCTTTCTCTTATCAACTGTCTTATCCTTAATGACTTTGGATTTCTTTGTAGTTTTCTTTTTGACTGATTTCCTCGTTGACATCCTTGATTTGTGAATATCAGTGTCTTCTTCATCATTATCAGTATCTTCCATATCAGAGTCATCCTCATGGGAAATCATTTGACTTTTGCTTTTGTTTGATCTGTGAAGTTTGATTTCAACTTTGTTTGTTTTCGGGGGTGTATTTTCAATATTGTTCATTGTATGATCATTTTCATGTGCTTGTTTATCATCTGATTGTTCATTAACATGAACATGAACTTCATCAATTTCTTTTTCAGTTTGAGTTTCTGGTTGTGATTTGGTGGCTGTGTTTTTAAGTTGTTTACCTTTTTGGCATTTCTGAGAAATTATATGCTGCTTTAATCTATGTTTATACCTGAAGGGTTTGTGACAGAAGTTACATTTTTTGTCACTGATTTTATGTGCATTATACAGATGAGCTGTGTATTCATCTTTATAGAGGGCTGTAAATTCACACTCACTGCATGCATAGTTGGTAGGTTTAAGACACTTTTTGGCAACTTCCACAGGGTTTGTTTCAACAATATTTTCTTGTTCAGATGATGTGTCAAAATCAACTTTTAATTTTCTTTTTCTCAATGGCACGTGCTTGTCAGAACTTTGATCAGAATTTGGAACGCTGTCAGAATTGGTTTCACGTCGGGTTAGTTTTGCATAATCTGCAATGATTTTTGATTTTCTTGGTAACGATCGAAGTTGACTTCTAGTTACATTTTTGTTGTGATCTTGATCTGATGACCCGTTATCATTATGTTCCTCTGATGTCAGAATTTCATTGTCATGTTGATATGATGGCAGCGTATCATTATCACATTGAGCTGATGTCAAAATATTATTTTCAGGCTGTTTGATATTATTAGTTTGCTCTGTAGTCATTATGATTTCAGCATCAGTGTTCTCCTGTATGTCACAATCTGGTTCCATTTCAGTAATAGTGTCATCCTGCAGATTAGAGTCAGCACAGTCAAATGGTGGAACATCAGCCTCATTCTGGTTATTGACAGACGGATCAGCCTCATTCTGGTTATTGACAGACAGATCAGCCTCATTATCAAGAATCACTGGTTTTGATAATCTAGGGGCTTTACTTTTCTGACACGTTTTTGATTTTTTATGCGCAAAGTAGTTTTCCAAAGAAATAAACACTTCCTTACACCTGCCACATTGGTGAACATCCTCATCAGAATCTGTAAATAGATGGCATTGGAGAAATATATATTCATGATTGACACAGTCATATACAGGGTGGTCCAAAAAAATGAACCCCTGCAACGGGCCTTATTTTTTAACCAACCTGTACTATACAAATTGAAAGATGTCTCCACAAGATTAAATCAAAAAGGTGCTGCACACACTTGATGAACCCACAAATGAAAAGTGAATAAAACCAATGACAACCTTAGACAGGACTGTGTAATGCATAGGTTCTGGGCCGATATAAAGATAGCAGCACCAACAGAACCCCGAATATTTATAAATAAACACAGATCGATTACCATGCCATCTTTATTTAAAAATCATTCCTATTGGTATTTGCCTATGGTGTAATGTGAATTTGAAATCAGTTGCAAAATTCCTAAGAACAGCATGCAACAATAAAAACTGCAATAACAGTGTCTAAATTGCTATATGTATATTGCTTGGGTTAGATAACATAAACGTCAGATGAAAGAGTGCATTGCAATTGCTATGTGTATATTGCATAAACGTTAGATGAAAGATTGCATTGCAATTGCTTCCACCATGCATAAGATTAAGGTATGTCTGTATAAGAATTTAACAATTACCAAAAATTAATGAAATGAGTTAATTTTTCAAAATGTTATTCTGATGTTTACATACATGTATAATGATGTTACACATTCGAATTTAGTTCCAAATTAAATGATCTGTTAAAATCATGTCAAATGACATTTTTCCAAAGTATCGTTTTTGATTTTTTCTCAAAGTATGGAATTACGTACTTTAATGTTTAAAACCAGAAAAGCTTTATACATTACATGTAGTATGTATTTCAAAAGCCTTAACCCAATATGCATCTTGGATCCAGGAATGACATTTTACTTAATTAAAAGTTGATTCATATGTGACAATCTTTGCATTGATTTGTGGCCATTGATCAGAATGATAAATTGTAATATGCTTGTGCTGCCATCTTTATGAGACAAATTGTTTCTTTGCTAGATTCAAATGATGCTAAGAGGATGGGTTCAAATGACTGTTGATTAACCATTTAGACTTTCAAATAGACAATTGAATTGTCAGTCAAGGTGACCCTGACTGTGGTAGAGATGGCCCTAAATGGAAAATACCTGAAGAGGACATGATGGAGAAGCTCTGTGTTGATGCTGTTCTATGTTGATGCTGTTCTATGTTGATGCTGCTCTGTGTTGATGCTGTTCTATGTTGATGCTGTTCTATGTTGATGCTGCTCTGTGTTGATGCTGTTCTATGTTGATGCTGCTCTATGTTGACTTTGTTCTATGTTGATGCTGCTCTATGTTGACAATGTGCCATCTCCTTTTCTATGCTGATGATAACCTTGGTGATTGTGTTTTCAACCTTAAAAGGGTAAAACATTAAATGTCAAAAGTGAGTTCACAAATAACATTAGATTTATCAACATACAGAACCAACTTAGATTATCATTGAAATATTCAGCCTTTACTATTTTAATGCTATGTATCAAAAATACTTGGTATGCTATCAAATGCTTCAGTTATTCTGTAGACAAATGATTAACTTCATGGGGATTTTATCTGCGCTGCCTTTGCTGGCGAAACTTGACCATTGACACATTTAAGATTATTTGGCACAAACCATGTTACAACAATTTTAGGATAACGAAATTAAATTTTAATGTCAACCCTCTGCAGTGAAGACTGTCTCAGCATTTTGGTCATTTAAATGAGAGAATGCAGCATTTAATCTTTAGAATACATTGAAGTAAATGTAAGAAATATTTGTCAGACAATGCAGAACATTCCCGGGTTTTGAAAAAGAAAGGACCACAATCCAAAGAAAAAGTTGGTGCAGGTGTGACACACCTACAAGAAATGTGAAATCATTTACCACACCGACCCTCATTAGCACACAGGGTCCTTCACTGCTTTCATAGCAGCTCATTATGTAATGCGATGAACAACACTTTGCCAAGGATGCCAAAATGTCATCACCTGCCATTTGTTACAGATGTCGACTAACAAATACTGTTACACATGCCAAACACCAGACACAAAAAAAGTTTGAGACTGTAACAATATGTCACAACTTGTGGTGATCATGATCAATGACACAAATATTTAAAAAAAATAAAAGTCTATGGACGCATTTTGTAAATACAGTGCTCACCATGAACATGGGCTTTCCGTGCAACTGTCTCTTGCACAGTCTATTACGCCGTTAGTTAACGAGATGAATACATTTCCATCATTTGAAGAAAATACTGGTTATTGAATAAGCACGTGTTAGATGTAAACAATCTGTTGCCACGCCCCCTTCTGGTTGGGGAATATCCGAGTCAGGAATTTTTCAAAAATCAACTTTTATTCAATCAAAATTACTAGCTTATCCGTATTAAGAGGACTTACCAAATATGCATTGTGTTTCTTTGAATATCCCTGTATCTCATGTCTTTAACTTTGTATAATAAATTCAAAGTAATTAGGCGTAATTTGAATGTATAACGGAGTTTGGGTTTTTACCAGTAAACTTCCATTGTTGTTAATTGATTCCAAAACGAGGCTTCTAGGTCACTGCGCAGAAGGTCAAAGTTCACTGCGCAGTGTTATGTTTAGCAGAAAACTAAGAGGAAGAGACACAGAATTTACAACTATCCGTAATGTCGCGGCGAAAGCAGTCTAATCCCAAGCCGATCAAAAGTAAGTACTTGTCAACATTTGTATGGATACTCAGGGAACAAACTGGGCAAAGATTGGTTTTATTTTCTCTGTACTTGCTGATATATTCTCAAATAGAAAGTTTAATTTTTTGAACATGTGGATTTTTTTCAACAGCTGATTTTGCAATTGTAGATGTCTAATTTTACTCACTTCGAGAGCCATGTTAGATTTTGAAACTTATGGCTCTCAAACGGAGAAGTGAACAGCTGATCAATAGTGACCTTTGAAATTGAATTAAGTCGATCCGCGGCTTACTTTTGGTCTCTAACTGTGTCTTACATCAGTATCATCAATCCGTGTAAGTATTGGAGTGCTGGAGTACTTCTTTTTCGATCAAGACTTGTAAATTGTTCATCGAGTTAAAGTTTTACAGACCTATTTCCAATATGGCGGTTTGCTAGGTGCGAGATACGCAACGAACGAAATGAATTTTGAGAATTAGTTAGGTTCGGACAACCTCCGGAGATTTACGAAAATGTCCGAGCAGAAACCGCCATATTGGAATTTGGCAGTAAAAGGATTCACTCGACTAACGAATTACAAGTCTTGATCGAAAAAGAAGTACTCCAGCGCTCCAATACTTACACGGATTGATGATACTGATGTAAGACACAGTTAGAGACCAAAAGTAAGCCGCGGATCGACTTAATTCGATTTCAAAGGTCACGATCATTGAGCTGTCCAAATGCTCCGTGGGAAAGCTATTATATCAAAATCCAAATAGCTTTCGCAGGAAGTAAGTCTAATTGTCTATAGAAAATGTTCAAAGATGAATTATGTGAACCGTATGTAGGACCTCTGCATTTCTACTATATGTGTCATGCTCTTTTTGAGTCAATCTATGGACTGAGATGCCAGAGTAAGATTCTCAGGTCTCCAATGATAGTCATTTGCATCTTCCCTGGACTTCATTTCAAATTCACTTGTTCAACATTGTTTGAGCAAAGGAAAGTCATTATATGGAAAACATCAATTTGTTTTGAAGTGTGAGGCAATGCATGGCACATATTATTAGTAGTTTGGATAGTTTCGGTGACAAGTTTGAAGGGTATTAGTATCATCCCTAGTTTTAGAGAAATTCAATTGTTGATTATATAATCCGCAAATGACAAGTACAAACGCTCCAGTATACATCCAATCAAAACGCTGAATAAATTTTATTAAAGGTAGTCAAAAATTGCTTACCAAAGGCAAACTCAAAGGAGTAAATAGAATATGGCTTCTTACCCTGAAATCCAGAAGCAAGAAGTTATTCCTTTATACTCTGACTATGATAGATAATTTTGTGTTTTTGATGCTGATAAGAATATCATACTGACCCAAGGAATAACTCCCGTGACCGTTTTTAAACTAATAGGTTAGATATAGCTCTCTAAATGAAGAATTGAAATCATACTGTTAAAATGTATAATGGCTTCTCTGGTTTCTTAAGCGCATGGCATTTTAATGGTGTTTAGTTACTAAGTATATTACCATGTACTGTTTTACCATTATAATATCTTGAATTGATACAAGTAATCGAGAGAAATAAATGGAGAAAATATATATTCTTAAAAGCTTAAAAATGATAGCAACTCCTTAAATGGGCAAAAAGGTGGATTTTATATAACAAAATTCTTGGAGAAAAAGCATGTGAATTCTGGCTTTTGCTCGATCATATCCGGGCAACTTGAAAGACTGCCTCTAAACCCAATCAGAAGTTTCAATTTTGAGTGACATTTTGCACGTCTCGACCAATATATTTATGTATACGTTTATGAAGTATGGTACTTTATCTTGTCCTGTTGTATGATCAAAATGTCATTTCATGTAATCACTAAGGATTTACAATATCTTTTAAATCACAGAAAATCATTGGTTAAAATATACTTATAATAACTCCCTGAGTACAGAGTGAATATAAGGTGAATCAAAACAACTGCAAAAGGTTATAATTAAAGGTAGTTTAGGAATTGTCTTAAACGTATCCCTTTCTCCAAGCTAAATGATAGGACACATGATTAAAATTAAATTTAAATTTAGCTGCTGCTGTGATAGATAATAGATACATTATTACTAATATTCTTTCATGTTGACCAAGTTCTATAGAAAAGCAGTAATTCATTGTTATTAACTAGGTGATCCCTTGATCATAAAGTCAACTAATCAATGCTTGTTTATCAGAGATTTTTAATGAAATAATCTGAATCTGAATTTTTGGGTGTTTTTAGAATAATTGAATTTGCCATCCACATGCTTGTTTACTTTATTTCATATTAAACCTTCTTTTTTATCTAATATTGAAATTAGAAATTTGACTGGGTTGACATTTTTTGCAAGGGATAAAGCCAAGCCTTAATATCAATGTATCCTGGATTATCTACTAGCATATCTCTTATACTGGCTTTTAAACTTTTCATTATTCAAACTTTCATGGGGAATACATCCCTGAATTATATTCAGGTTTAAAACAGTAGGTTTTAATGAGTAGATCCATCTATGTAGGATTAAAGGCCTATGGAAACCTTTTGGTTAAAGTTCATGACCGTCATGTTTTAAAATTCAAAATAGAACAACAAAGAGTGATTTTAATTTAAAATCATTTACATAGCCTTAAAGTAGATTCTCCAAATTGCATAGAAATGCAATAATTTAAAAAACTTTAATCAAATTTTAGAGAGAAATTTGACGAAACAAGCAAGAGCAGACGCCATTTTAGATATGAGTAGTACACTCAGATGCAGCCCTGATAAAATGCTGATTTTCTGAGATAAATCTATTGCAGAAGATAACATTCCAGCTTGAACTGTTGCCATGGTTACTATCAACTCTATTTGATTATTGGCTGAGATAGCCATATGGATATTAGAGATAAGGAAACTTTGCTTATAAATTCAGGCTCCACATAGATATCTATCTTCCTAGTCATATTCTCCTACATGATTCTTTTTTTATGAAAAAACATTTAAAATGTTAAATACATGTTTTATCTTAGTTTTGATTCAAACATGACATAAATATTGATGTTTGCAATTACTCGGATTTTATCAACCCTATAAATGCTTTTCAGTTATGAATTCAGTTTCAACTTGAAATATTTTAGTTTTTATTTTAATGACCAGGATTGATAGTCTAAAAGAGATAAAATTAAATACAGTAATTTGCTCATAAAAACTACAATTTAATTCAAAGGTATCTAATTTTACTGAGTAAATTAACATAAATAGCGATCAATCAAAACCATATCAAATTATGATTAATTATTCTTTTTCCCAAAGCTAGTCTGAAACATCCAGATCTTAATCAAGGGGAAGTTTTTCATTTTTATTTTATGATTTTAAATGATAGTGCTAACCCTAACCCATCAAAAATCCAACTTCGGTTCATCTTATATTCATTGATTTGAGAATGCACATAAAGTAACAATACAAAAACACAACACAGCAACAATTGGGACAATTCTCAATTTCACAATTCAGACCAAAATTGGTCAAAATATGCCCATTTTTCATGATTTTTCTCACATTCAGGTGGGTGCAAATGGATTTTCAGGTGGGTGTAAGTCTATCTTCAAAATCTCAAATGGGTGCTTCGCCCACTTGCTTTAATGCTAGGGAGATCACTGATTTACCCATCGCTTGTAAGATATTGAAAGAAGCCAATTTTTTTTCTAAATAAACGAAAAAAGCATTCATCCAATTTAGTGAGTGACCATATCTTTAGCTGTATCACTGTTGAAGTCTGAATCACTTGTTATAGAAATGATGTATTGCTGACTTAAGATCCACTGAATAATTACTCCCGATAAATTGTCGTCTGCTCATGTATTTTTCCCATTATTTCTCTCTAAAATTTGAATGAACTGTCTGATTTATTGGCATTTCTACAGATTTAGAGTGTTCACTACATGTCTGTTTACTTTATTCCTTGCTAATACCACTCTTTCTATCTCTGTTTTGTATTTGAATATATGACCGTTATGAATTCATCTGAGGGCTATATCAAAAATAGCGTGAGCAAACGCTTATCTCTAAGAAACATTCTCCAATACAGTCAAGCCCATCTTAAGTTTTTCGTTGATAAAATGATAAAATCGCGCATTTTTACATTTGTTTTATGTCCATGTCTTTCTGCGTCTGATTATGCTACTCTGGATGATAGATTACGTGTTTGTAACACATTAGACTTGATTGAGGAGCTGATCTTGTGGATAAAGAGCAGTGATAACTCCTTCAAGTTTTATCTTCTTTAGACTTGGTGTAATTAGAACATTCAGTTGATCTCAAGTCTTCAGATAATCAGACTACTTTAAAAGGGAAGTTCCATTTTTTGCTAGTTTTGCTTCTAGACTCTGCTCCCCCCCCCATCTTATCGAACAAGAGCGAGGCATGGGATTGTTACTAGGCTACATTTTTGCTTTTTTTTCATTTTTGCCTCACATGGACAAGATTATATGCAGAACTAATGTCAAGAATCAAATTTTTGATATGTATGGTTTATGGGGATTTGAAGTTTTAAAGGGGATTTTCCATTTCGACTTTAATATTACATGGGCAAAATCATATACAGAAGTAGATGATCGTTGGCTTTTTGATGTATATGGTTTATGAGGATTTGAGGTTTAAAAAGGGATATTTTATTTCTACCTCAATACTACACTGGCAATATCACATATATAGAATTTGGGTTAATTGTTGGCTTTTTTGATGTTTATAGTTTATGGGGATTTGAACATATCTCTTGGCTTAGACATTTTAGGCTAGGCTCTCTATTCAAAATTTATCTCTTTTCCATATCATTACATACATTGTTGATAAACCACTTGAAATTTTTTCAGTTTTTTGCAAGATAAGTTTTTTGGTAACTGGCTGAAATAAACCAGATACAGATTTAGGTTCTAGACAATAGGATGTCCTTATGTTTATCTCTCCACTTATCTATGCTTAAAAGAGGCATTCGTGGGGTCATTTTGTACAATTAAGAATCAGTTAGTTTTATTA